GGAGGTGAAAGATATAGAATAAGCCAGATGTTGGGTTGTCATTTAATTGGTATATTCCATTTTGGACACCTTGACCATTATAAGAATCCTTCAATTCACATTAAGACAAAAAGCTGTGAATATCCCTACTCTTATTGGTCTGCTTCAATCAATGTCTGCTTTATGAATGGTATTTGCATTTTCACTTTTCCGAACGTTAGAGGGGATATAACGGCAAACAAAATTTAAGACCAAGCTGAAGAATTAAAACTTTGAACTCTTAAATTGACAACATGAATGAGTCTAAAGTAGCGGTGAATTTTTTTTTATCGTTTCATAAAATCTGACACAAAGCAAAGCGGACAAAATATCTGGCAGCAGTTTCGATAACAGAAGGTGTAACAACACCGAAAATAATGTTAGAAAACAAAGCAAAGGCAAAACCAGCACCACAAACAATATTAACAACAACAACAGCAACAAAAAAAAACAGTAAATGAACACAACAGCTACAGCAACAAAAATAAAAACCAAAACAACAACAGCAACAAGAACAAAAACAGTAAATAAAAAAATCACAACAACAACAACAACAACAACAACCACAACTTCAACAACAACAGCAACAACAACAACAACAACAACAACAACAACAGCAGCAGAAAATAAAACAAGCACAACAACAACAGCAAGAGATGCGGTGACCCCGGCGAAGAGCACGCTCTTCGGGGCTCCAAACATTTTGAACGGATAGGCTACCACACACACACACACAACAACAACAACAATAACGACAACAACAAAACAATGTAACGGAAATAACACCAAAAAAACCAATAATATATATAGATTCAACTGCATGTAGATTATACTTAATCTAAGAGACAATATATATTTACTTGTCAATGTTTCAGAATCAAAAGTTCTTCCCTTCACTCAGAACAATCAAGACTTACTTTGTCGCCGCTTGTGCTAGTCTTGAGATAACCAGAGGCAAGAACACAACTGGACCGCGGCAAAAGCAGAACTTTAGAAAACATCAAATCAAAACACGAAAAAAAAAAAAAAGCCGGTAAAACCAAGATCAGAAAAGAGAAAAACTGACAGACTGACTTCCTTCGGTCAGCTGTGAGTGAACTTGTTTACCGGACTTACGCTATGCCTCTCGTCTCCCCTCTCTCCCTCTCTCTCTCTCTCTCTCTGTGTCTGAATTCCGCACCGCTGTCTTGTTTTTCCCCCGTTGCATCAACACGTAAAAAGGAAAAGATAAAACACTGTTGAGGGGAGAGCGGACCTGTCCGTGTTTCAGTCGCTAGGAATGCCGCGGCTTACCTGCTCGGCGTCGCCAAAAGGGCGAGCTTTTTATACGGCCAGAACTTCGCGCGTCTGGCTGTTTAGCCTCACCAAAGGCCCGAGTCGCATGGGTTGAGGTTGAGGCCCTTCACAGAACCCCC